TGCATAACTGACATGTCACAGGTATATTTTTCATCTGTAAATGTTAGAAAGTCATGCAAATATATCCGTTTTGCTGTCAGGAGTGGGCGAGGCTTACGCGAGTGAACGAGCGCTGCTGCGCGCATGCGTGCTAAACAGACGGCACGCAATCAAATAGGAGCGCAATAATTCTGCGTAAAATATAGCCTACATTTTGCTAAAATATTTGTTGTTGGACATTAAATGTGCCTTTTGTAGAATTTTAAACCTTCATATAAGTGTATTTTTATGATAGCAGTAACTGTGAAGGGACTTGTAATAGGTCAATCAAATGTAAGCTATACAGTACTAATTAATAAGCTCAGATGAGTTAATGTGTGTTTCTTATACAAAGTGAAAATATAGTCATTTTATTTATTTATTTTCATTTTTAATTCAGTGATTTTAACTTTTAATTTAGTTCTTTTAATGCTTTAAAGAGCAATTTTAGATTGTAATGTTCTAATGTTCTGCTATCTGTTCTGCAAAGGTACAGCTGTCATAAAACCAGAAAGAGCCTTTCTGCTTGACTAGAAACTGTACAAAAAGTCAAATAATAGCGTTCCTATTGGTCAGTGTTAGAGGAACTCAGCTTAGTCTGATAGTTAACCTGCTTTAGACCAGGTTAGTTTCCCAGCATAAGTTGCCACAGTGACTGAAGTTGATCTATGTTAAATTTGCTTTATGGAACCAAATCATTTGACAATGAGTCAGACTAACTGAAATAAGCCTGGCTTATTTGGTAAACTTGTTTTATGAAACAGGCCTTGAGGCATTAAAAGTGATCATATTTTTTCCATTGCATCGTATTGCATCGAATCGCATTGTGTTGAATCGAATCGAATCGAAATCGGATCGCACTGCATCGCAATAGGGGGGCATCATATCACATCGCATCGGTAGCTGCTTCATATGTATCTTTAATGTATCGTATCATTGGCTATGCATCGAGATGCGTATCGTATCGGCCTCAGTCATGAGATGCACATCCCTAATGTACTGATGTCAAGTATATGTACTATATATAAAAGTTCTATTTTTGTGTTATGAAAATTACTACACTGCCAAATAAATGCTATTCATACAAATCCTTTATGGCATGTAGGAATAAATGTACTCTTGTGCATTTAAGCATTAGCAATTACACACGCATTAGTTAAATTATGTTACATTTGTTAACTCTGATGCTTTATTCTGGTTCAAGCACTAAGACCTCTGCGCTTGACATCAGTGACAGATGAGAGCCACCATCTGTGTTCTGTGGGTCTTGATCCAATGACACGCAGGCCTGTTCCAGTCACCCTTAATCTTCTTCACCGGCCCCACTCCATTTACATATGTTTCCCATTCATCAGATCAACACACAATGAGCCCCCCTGTGGCGTGTATAAATGTGTGCGTGTGCGGGAGGGTCTGACCTGACGATATCAGGGTGCTGATGATGACGAGAAAACGGTCCTCTGGGATCTGAGCGTCTGTGAGGAGCAGGATTGTGGGTATGTTTTTCACCCCCGTCTTCATGTACAGTCCAGCCAAATCCACCTGAAAAATACATGAGAGATAGCTGAGAACACTTACAATATGGAAGAGAGCACAACCAGTCTCCAAAACCAGTTTGAGCTGTGGCTTAGTGGTTAGAAGAGTTATGGTGCTCATGTGGGAGATTTGAGTTTGAATCTGGTCCGCACACAAATTCCAATCCCATTTTACCCTCTTCTTTCTATCACTTCCTGTCACTTTTCCTTTCAAATAATGAGAAAAAAATCTTAAAAATCAACACGTCGGAAACTGTACAAAAGCAAATAAATTGATAAGTGTAAAAATCCCAAATAATACAAATAATTCTGCCACTTCAAATGCTCAAGCTCTAAATTTGCTTGATTCTGATTGGCTATGAATGTGTTTAGCATTATTCAGCTGGAAAAAAATTCCAATAACTCTGCGTCATTATTGATATAGGTGTGGTCTTCCCTATTCTCATCTAATTGAAGCGATTTTTTCAAAACGCTATAAGCTATAGTTATAGTCAGAGCTGGGTAGTAACTGATTACATGTAATCTGGATTATGCAATCAGATTACAAAAATTACAAAAGTACTTGTAATTAGATTAAATTACATTTTAAAATGCTCGGAATCAGACTACAGTTACTTTTTATTGATTACATGATTACATATTATTCACACAATAGCAATAAATTATTCATATTTTATTGATTCTCCCTAATTCTTCTTATTCATCTTTTAAATGTTTCTTTCTAAAATAGCCTACCGCTTATATACATTCAGAAAGTAATACACAAATTCACAATATTTCTTATTTGCATTTAATGCAGGCATTCCCAAACTTTTTTGTCATCTGAACATTTTTCACTTAATATATTTACTTGAAGTACCCCTGAGATTTTAATCTCAAATAAATATTTTAATAATGAAGTATCACATTTGCATGTTCATGGTTCTCTGACAATGATTAATGGTCACATGGCATGCAGGGTAAACAAATTAAATATTTTTTTTTTTTAGTGTTTTATTTTGATTAATGTTATTTTTAAAATTACTTATTTTTATTTGCCATTTTTATGATTCAATTAATTATTAGCTTTTCATTAAACTCATGAAGCCCCTGCAGTTCATTTATGAACCCAAGTTTGGGAAACCTTGAAGTAAAGTAATGTTTAATGCACTTCATGATATTAATTACAATGAATGGAATATATTTTCTTACTATTTGTATGTTTATATGACGTTATATAACGTGTTAAACGACTTAAAAAAGTAATGTAAAAGTAATCAAAAAGTATTCTAATTACATTACCTAAAATGTGTAATGTAATGGATTGCGCTACTAACTACAATTTTTGTCATGTAATTTAGAATCAGGAACGGACTACAATTTCTAAGTAATCTACCCAGCTCTGGTTAAAGTTATCATAATAGTTATCATCCTATATGTGAATGTGCCAGAGACAACTATCCAGTAAGCAATGTATGGGTTGATTTCCTCAGCCTCAAAAACTGTGACGCTCAACAAGTACATCAGTAGAACACAGAAGCAGCATTCAGAAAACCTGTATAAAAATTTTAATTTTTACAATTCTAGTGCTTCTAGCAGCAAACTTCAACTTTAAAGATATTGTTGCTCAGTGAATTTTCACAAGTGAAATCCAGTCGTTTCAAAAGGAATCCACACAAATGGGAAAGGATTTCGCCGGGCAGATTTTGCAACAGGTTCAAGTTGATCACATGACAAACACAAAGCTGCTTGGTTTGAAACGACTTTTCTGTGAGCTGTGCTATATAAAAGTGCTGCACTATTGACAATAGACAAAGGACTGTAAAACATAGCCGAAATTTCGCTAATGTGACCTTAACAAAAGGAAAGTTGTTCAACATGACTACTATCTTGTAATACTGCATATTTACATATATGCATAGAAACAGGATGAGACCAAGATGAAGTGTCTCTTCATGATTATGCGTAGAGGGCATCAAACAGTGAGTGTTGAGTGTATAGAGATCAATGCAGCTCAGCCAACTGGCCTCAGATTTACCACACACTGATGAATGAAATGATAGCAGCGGCCTCATCAATAGGGCATTGAAATATTTGCTTTGGTTCTTTAATAGGATCTGGCAATTACTCCCCATTGCATCCGGGCGGGACTAAATGAGATCGATGGAGTCGGACGGGGTATTGATCAGGGAAAGTGTTGTCTAAAAGAAAGCTTGATCCCTGCTAATGAATCACCGCCATTTTAGATTTATCCTCACCTCACAGCAGTGATGGGTACTATGATTTAGGCAGCTGATGTGGGTTACGATGGTTTGGCACAATATCAAAGTCGCATTTGTTGTGGTTTCTGCTGTATGTGGTTTTCTCATTTTCATCTTGTATGCCATTGATTGTATTGTGCGGTCTACTGAGGCGGTTACCTTTAGGTCCTGTATGTTGTAGCCCTTGCTGAGGGTGGGCTGGAACACATCCATGTTGGAGAGGTGGGCAGCAAGGCGGGTCAGGCTTTGTTTGCCACTGCCCCCCACACCTACGAGGAGGGCATGGCCTCTAGGACATGCCAGGATGCGACTGATCCGACACCTGCAGAAACCAGTCAAAAAAAACATGTGTGTGTAAGTACAGTTAAATCTGTATTCACTAAAGCACATACTGCAGGCGTAGCACTCACACATGCTGCATGGCTTCCTGGAACAGCACCAGGTTCATGGCAGAGTGGAGCTCGTTGTAGCTGTCCAAAGCCTCATTGAGGATACAGCTGAGCTGCTCCCATCCAGCTACGGGCATGTAGGAAGGTTCTGCAGAGCCCACACTGCTGTGCAGGTATATTAGTGGCTCCTGCAACACTGCCTCTTCCTCTATTTCCTTTAGGAGACAAACAGAGAACAACTGCATGTTAAAGAACAATAGTATTAACATAATAGTATCACATAATAGAGAGCCTGGAGTTTTACTGATGAAAAGTGGAGGAATCAGGATAGATTTTTCATTATTATATATATAATTCATTATATAAATATAATTCATTATATTTATTTATTGTCATTGATTTTGTTGACTAGTTTATTCCTTGTAGATACATATTTATATTATAATTTGTAGTAATTACAAATTTCTAATCCATCTTATTTTTAACAAAGGAGTGGGGAATTAATTAATTTTTATTTATTTGTTTGTTTGTTTCTTTGTTTTTAAATATAACATTATTATACTTTAACTACAATTATACATTTATTTACTTATTTTATTTCATTTTATTACTTAAAATATTGTTGTTGTTTTTTATATTTATAAATAAATGTTTTTGGTGTATTTCTTATTCCATTGCGCAATTTTTTTCATAAAACAGAAAACAAAGAAAATAAAAAATTTGAATAAAATAATAAGGTGCCTTCCAGTTGTTGTTTTTTTTTGTGAAAGATGCTGATTCATTGAGGCCTTTCACAGCAGTAAACATGTCATTTTGCTGGTTTACCTCCAAGGCCTGTCGTGCGATGTCCGCCTGCAGCCTATGGAAAAGCTGAATGTCAGATGCTTCAGAAAAGCGATCTGAATATACTCTTCTGGATTCATGGATCCAAAGTCGAACCAGATCTGCACCCTGTCTAACACACTCTGGCCTGGAGAACAGGAGACCCTAGATGCACATACAAACACAGGTACAAAATGTTGGCTAATTCAAGATATTTACAGTTTAAATTACTGAGCACAGAGGGAATGTTTAACCTGGAACAGCCGAGAGAGATCCCACAGGTTGAAGAGATAGTAAAACTTTATAGAGGTGGGGAGGAAGTGCTGGAGCACCCTGTTATGGAGTGCTACAGCTGCTTTCACCACAGCTGGAGCACTCCTCACCACAGCTGCGCTGAACGGCAACCTCTGCAGGTGGAAGCTCAGGATAGAGCCAAAGATGGAGCTGAGGGTCTCACAGCTGGGTGTGTTGAGCACTAACACTGTGAAATGCCTCTGATGAAAATTAAGGTGAAGATTTGTCAGTGATGTCTCTCAAACAAAATTTCATATTATATAACAAACAATAAACTTTTTTTTACACTACACTTTTTTTTGGTAGCACTTTATTTTACAGTCCTCTTCCTCATGTACATACTATGTACTTATTATAGTAATTACAATAACTAGGTACCAACCCTGAACCTACCCCGTGTAGTTACCTTATATTACCAGAACTATGTACACTGTAAGTACAAATAAGAAGTGCAACCCTTTTTTTACTACAATATCTTTTCATATAATTCTGCATTTTTTTAATCAGTGCATTGCGTATGGAACAGAGTTCAAAATTAAAAAATGGCTCCATTTGAATTCATTAGTTTGAATTTAATTGGTCACAACTCACAGGAGATGCTGAATTAAGATGAAAAGAGAAAATTACTAAATTGCTTTAGTAAAATTGCTTAAATTTCATTACTCCAACACAGTTCCCTATCTGTCGGTCACTACGAGTTATGTCGTGACGACATAGGGGGTTTACTTGAGAGCCCCAATCTGCTCTGACTTTCAGAGAAAACACCAATGAATTTTGGCTAGTGGATTTTGCATACCTGAGCCACTCCACGTGCATACGGGTATAAATAGGTGACAGGTGCATCCACTCATCAGATTTTTGCTTCGGAGCCGAGTGGGTGAATGATTTCTTCTCCACAAAGCCCTTTCGTTCTGACTGGAAGAAAGAAGCTGTTCCTGGTTGGCGTGACGGCACAAACAGCGGTGTCCCTGTTGATTCAGCGATTCCCCTGGGTGCTTCAACTAAAAGAGCAGCTTCTCATCACGGACGGCTCGCGTCTTTTTAAAGATGCCGTTCCGTCAGTGTTCTCTTGGTTGCGATCGTTACCTGTCCTCTGTCGATGGCCATGAGCGTTGCCTTCAGTGTCTGGGCATCCAACACGCTGAAGCTGCATTCGTGGATGACTCATGCGTTCATTGCGAGCGTATGGGCATGACTTCGCTGCGATCTCGCACCCTCTGTCTCTACCCGTCCCGGTTTCCCTGTCACGAGCAGGGGACCGCCGGCCAGAGCTCTGGGAGATCTGAGGGTCACAGTGAGAGCTTCTCCGCCGGGCACGCCCCGTGGACCTCTCACTCCTCCCGCAGCGAATGTCTCGTTCGGCTCCAGAATGGTTTCGCTGGCCCGGCTCGTGACAGTCCCAGCATTTCATTTCATTCGGTGTGCCTCCGGAGGATCAGATGTCGATCGCAGCATCGGGGGATGGGCTATCGTCCTCCGAGGATGAAGATTCGGTGGGGCTGCCCCCATAGGGTGTTGTCGCCACCGCCGAATCGGACCCCGAGTTGACGGCCATGCTTTCCCGGGCAGCCGTGAGTATCGGGCTGAAGGTGAACACACTGCCCAGTCACGAGCCCTCGCGGCTGGATGATTGGTTTCTTGGTGTGGGGCGCTGGTGCCTTTTTTTCGGAGGTGCATGAGGAGCTGACGAAGCCATGGGCGGCCCCTTTTTCCGCCAGAAGACGCTTGTCTCCCTCCTCTGTCCTCACTACCCTCGATGGCGGGGCGGCTAGGGGGTACGTAGACATTCTCCAGGTGGAGAGAGCGGTTGCGGTGCACCTGTGCCCGCAAAACGCCGCCACTTGGAGGAATCGTCCGCGTCTCCTGTCCAAAGCCTGTAAGCTGACGGTCGCTTTTGCGGCCAAAGCTTTCGGTGCTGCGGGCCAGGCCACCTTTGCCCTGCATGCCATGGCTATCCTGCAGGTCCACCAAGCCAAGGCACTGAAACAAATGCACGAGGGTAGTTCTGACCCGGGTTGATGCAGGAACTGCACACGGCAACTGACTTCGCCCTCTGGGCGACGAAAGTCGAGGCACAATCCCTCAGGAAGGTGATGTCCATCAACCGGCAGGGTGGTCTACAATCACGTCACAGCTCGCCCGTCATCTCCTCCTCTGGAGTTAGACGTGGCTCAAGTCGCTGCGCGCCGTCCACATTCTGGGGGAGCTCAATCGTGCAGCCGACACACTCTCACGACAGCTCACATTCCCCGGAGAATGGTGACTCCATGCCGAGATCCGGCTGATCTGGAGTCGATTCGGGGAAGCCCAGGTAGACCTGTTTACTTCCCACGAGTCCTCCCACTCCTAGCTGTATTACTCCCTGACCGAGGCCCCCCTCGGCACAGATGCACTGGCACACAGCTGGCCTCGGGCTCTACGCAAGTATGCGTTTCCCCCAGTGAGCCTTCTCGCACAGACACTGTGCATGGTCAGGGAGGACAAGGAACAGGTCTTGCTGGTTGCGCCTTACTGGCCCACCCGGACCTGGTTTTCGGGAACTCATGCTCCTCGCGACAGCCCCTCCCTGGTGCATCCCTCTGAGGAAGGACCTCCTTTCTCAGGGGCTCAGCACCAAATGGCATCCGCGCAGGTCGCGCTGGTTGAGCCTTACTGGCCCACCTGGACCTGATTTTCGGAACTCATGGTCCTCGCGACAGCCCCTCCCTGGTGCATCCCTCTGAGGAAGGACCTCCTTTCTCAGGGGCTCAGCACCAAATGGCATCCGCGTCCAGATCTCTGGGACCTCCATGTGTGGCTCCTGGACGGAATGTGGCAGACTTAAACGATCTGCCACCGGCGGTGGTAAACATGATCACTCAGGCTAGAACTCCCTCGATGAGGCTGTGAGTCTGTTCATGAAGTGGTGTTCTTCTCGCCGAGAAGACCCCCAAAGATGCACGATTGGAGTAGTGCTTTCTTTCCTGCAAGAAAGGTTGGAGCGTAGGCTGTCACCCTCCACCTTGAAAGTGTATGTGGCTGCTATCGCCGCACATCACGATGCAGTGGACGGCCGGTCCCTGGGAAAGCACGATCTCATCATCAGGTTCCTGAGGGGTGCCAGAAGGTTGCCTAGGCCACCCCCGGTGCCCTCCTGGGATCTCTCTACTGTCCTGGCTGGCCTTCAGGGGGATCCCTTTGAGCCACTGGACTCAGTTGAGCTTAAGTTCCTGTCTGCTAAGACAGCACTCCTGACCGCGCTCACTTCCATTAAGACGGTCGGGGGCCTCCAAGCATTTTCGGTGAGCGAAGAGTGCCTTGTGTTCGGGCCGGCCTACTCTCACATTGTCCTGAGACCCCGGCCTGGATACATGCCCAAGGTTCCCACCACGCCCTTTCGCGATCAGGTGGTGAACCTGCAAGCACTGCCCTCGGAGGAGGCAGATCCAGCCTTGGCGTTGCTGTGTCCCGTCAGAGCGTTGCTTTTCCTCCTCCAGTAAGTTCCCCAGTCGGCAAACCCTGGTTGAGTATCCTCCAGCACCCCCGGCAGTCAAGACTGGGCGGAGCAGTTCCTAGGCTCAGTATCGGTGTTAGCTTGCCCGGGTTTCCGGTCAGCCCCTTTACTTCGGCTAGGTGTCCATATGGCTTGATTGCCTGCGGGCGATCTTATATGTGTATTTTTCCATGGTAAGGTTTCCATCCTGGTGAACACGTGTCTTCCCTTTGACAGACCACTCTGTCAGTCTCTGCTGGCAGCCGTTCCTCCCTACTCCTAGGTAGGACCTGACTCAGAGACTATTCCATATGTAGTACTGCCCCAGGCCTGGGTCAGTCCATATCAGTGTCTCCGTATGATACCTCCCTACAGGCAGGATGTGGTCTCCGTAGCGCCCTTCTCTGGAAGGCTCGCTTCCCCTTCATTACTGCCAAGCTGTAAACAACAAATAGAAAAGGCGTGAAGCACCTTTCATGAAAGTCAAAATCCCTTCTCTTAAGAAAAAAATTCTGTCATAGAAACAGCGGCTTGGCTATCTCCAGCAGCGATGTACTCACCTTTTGATCCATGCGGGCGCCAAGGTCAGCGAATTTGCGCTGGGGCGTTGGGAAGGTTGCAACCTTTGCACAGCATTTGTCTGACATGTGGCTGCTTGTCAACATTTGCAGTGCTACAGGGTTGTGACAGAGTTCAGGTTGTGGTGCTTTCCATGGACCCCCTATGTCGTCACGACATAACTCATAGTGACCGACAGATAGGGAACGTCTCGGTTACGTATGTTATGTCCCCATGCCACAACCTCGAACCATTGCTGGTTGCCAGGGACACATTCTCGGCTCTTCAGCGTAAAACCTGAATGAGTGGATGCACCTGTTGCCTATTTATATCTGTATGCACGGGGAGTGGCTCAGGTATGCAAAATCCACTAGCCAAAATTCAGTGGCGTTTTCTCTGAATGTCAGAGCGGATTGGGGCTCTCAAGTAAACCCCCTATGTCGTCACGACATAACGTGCCTAATTATCCCCTAATATGTAAAATTCATGTTTAATATATTAATACAAAAAATTTATATACTTACTTTAATTATAATATATTAACTTGTATATATGAAATTAATATTCAAGTTATTCTAAACTGTGAAAAATACAGCACCACAAACTGTCCATGATATTTTATGGAATTTTATGGAAATATATGGCATTATTTATTACATACAGGATATTTATTTATTTATTTATTTTATTTTTTTAGTATCACAAATACATATTAATACACATTTCTATAGGTGGTATAGAAATTGACGATGAATGATTATTAATAATATTTGTAAATGCGAAATATATGGTATGACAAAAAGTTTATATTCTGCTCTGAATGCTGCACAACAATGTGCAATAAAGAAGCTCCCACAAAAGAAATTCAAATACCTGCAGTCTGGGGTTAATTGTAAAACTCCCCGATGTTGGATTCATACAAGAGAGATAATGGGTGTTGTGTATGTCTTTCATTGTTAAATTGTGACTGTCATACCTAGAAAAAAGACAGAAAATTGTTATAGAGTGTTTTGACAAGTAATATCTCCCTTAAGTGGAATAAATGAAAGAAACGTTGATGTTGCGTAACCAGTGCTTGTAATCCAGATGCTGGCGAATGAGAGCGTGTGGCTGAGAGGTCCCATAACTGTCCACAGCTGTCATGTTCATGTCATCGATGAAGTAGATGAGTCTCTTGTTTCTCGGGGGTGCGTAACTCCTGCCAGCCTTCCTTTCGAGAGGTTTCTCCATTGCCTCTGATAATAAAAATAAAAAGCATTGTTTTAAAAGAACTGACTACAACTTTGCATAAGGCATCATTTTCAAAGAAATCCTATAACTAGTACAAGTGAAATTCACATTTTACATAGTGTTATAAAATTCTGGGATACAAGTCCATAAGAGCAGAATTTTTTTTGTCTAAAATTTGTATGGCTTGATATGTATGAACAAATCCATCTGTCTCATGCTGTTCAGACCTACTAAAAACTTTTTTTGTTTGTTTTAAAGGTTTAATAAAGCAAACATTTACTCAACATCAATTCAAGTACACCCTGAGGAGCACTTGGATGAAATCACTGGACTAACTGTTATTTCTATTATTATTATAACCAGATGAAATGAAATTTGTCATATGGACCACAAGGAGGTGCTGTTCTACACATCGGAAGACATTTTAGAAAAATTTGATGAAATGCACGCTGTCACACTCACTTTGCAGCATGGATGCAGTGATATGAAAGTGAAGGGGAACTTTCGCGGTTATAAGGTTCTCCGGTAGTGTTTCCAGAAGGTTCCTGACAAGAGCAGATTTCCCAGTGCCTGCTCCACCAATCAGCATAAGAGGCTGAGATGTCTCCAATAACATGCGCATGAAATACTGCAGTCTGACCGTCTCAACTGTTGGGACTAACATAGACTGTAGACAAAAAAGGGGGGCATTTGATTACTCAAGTCATATTCAACTTATCTAAATCAACAAATAACACTATAAATAAGTCTATAAATAACACTATAAAATCTATCTATCTATCTATCTGTCTGTCTGTCTGTCTATCTATCTGTCTATCTTTCAAAAGTTTTCTATTTAAAAAATGCTGTTCTTTAGAACTTTCTTTCCATCAAAATATATTTTTAAAAATGTATCACAGTTTTCACAAAGAGCAGCACAATGCTTTCAAACACTGATTATAATACTTTTTTTTTCTTGAGCACCAAATCACTTCTTTCAAAAACATAAAAAAACGTATCCAATCCCAAAATTTTGATCAGTGGTGTATATATAATTTATCCAATGTATAATTGGTGGTGAGAATTTTGTAGACCCACTCTAAAAAAAAAAAGTATAAAAACATTTACACAATTAAATCAGTTTAAATACTTGTATTTTTCGGAAAAAGCTGTGTGATACTTTGCAAGAGCATTTTGAGTGAACTTTTAGAATATAGTTCTGCAATGAGACACGACAAACCTGTAGGCCCAGTTCATCACTATGACTACCCTATTATCAACATTACGTCTTTATCTTCCAAGAATAAAAACAGAGACAATGGCCCCACACACACGCATAATTCTGATTACTTTGAACGGTAATCAGATCCAAAACTCCTCTGACTGCAGGTTCAGCTCATGATGGAGGGAGGTTGTTTTCTCTGTATCTGTTCACTGACCCACTCTAATGCACTAACTGCACTAAATTAGCATGCCATTATTCTGAAATTAAAGTAGTTTTCTGTGAGAGTGAATTTTCTCAGGAGAATTTTCTCAGTGGATCACAAAGAAATATATTGTGTTGTAATGAATATGTTCACAACATGTTATTCTGTATGTAACAGGAAGTATTAGTGTATTCCGAGTGTTCCTACATCAAATTTAGACTTCAGCTTCCTGCAATACATGATCCTGTCCTCACCTGTACAGGTGTATCAGGGTCCATCTCAAACATGAGCATCCTGTCGGTCCATGGCAGGAAGCGTCTGGAATGAGGATCTAAATAGTAGTCAAACACAGAACCCTGTACAGGAAACTTCACACTCTTCATCTCTTTGATCCACCACTGACTGAACTCAGCCCGAAAATCATGGAGCTGAGAGATCAAAAAAGACAACATAAACAGAGACACTCTAAAGTGCGAGAAACATTCATATTATATATATACAGTATATATTCATCATGCTTGTGAAGGATCCATTTTAAGATGATCTTGAAGAGATCAACTTTTTTTTAATTAACTGATATTCTTATTAAAAAAAAAACAATGATATATATATAAAAAAAGACTATGGGTGATTTTTAGACTATGATCTCGCCAGTGACAAAAAGTTTTAGCTCAGCTTTGCTCAGATTCAGAGAAAAAATTGTGTGGAAAGTATTAGCAAATAAATCAAAACTCACTTAAAATAAATATAAATATATCAATTTTGTCAGTTTCAGTCTTGGTGTAGTTTTTGTTTCGCATTCGTATATTCCCCCCAAAAACGAAATGAAACAAAACAAAACAAAAAACAATACAAAACAACATAAAACACAAAACAAAACACCAACCCAAACAAAAATACAACACACACAAAACCATACAAAAACACAAAACAAAACACCAACCCAAACAAAAAAAACAACACACACAAAACCATACAAAAATACAAAACAAAACAAATACCTGATCCTGGAATGTGGCTCCACCAAAAGCCCACACACATGCGAACACAAAGTATGTCTCATAGACTTCCCGTGGAGTGTCTGCCGGAATGTTCTCCGGAGTTAACAGACAATCCAACAAGGAGCACAGAGTCTGAGAAAGAGAGAGACATCAGTAAAGATTTGAAAACCACAGTATAGGCCTGTATGAATGAGTGTATCTGTGTGAATGGTACACCTGAACCATGCTGTTCTCGGTAATAGGAATGATCGTCTTAAAGGAGCTTCTCATTTTTTCAATACAGCGAGGGATGTATTTGTCAAACAGAATGGTCAGGTGTGCTCTCTCAGTTTGTCTCTCCCTCCGATCAATCCAACTCGTAACATATCTATAGACATTGAAGAAATAATCCTAATCCATCACAAATATGAACCACTATGAATTAGATGGTGTAATTTGCACAGAAAGTGAATTTCTCACAGGTTCCAGCTAAGCTCCTGAGGATTGATGTACAGGATGCCAGCTCGGGACACGGTGGCAGGCGTGGCATGTTTCAAGTGGCTGATCTCAAACAGTAGTCTCATCGAGGGGGTGAGTGGGATACGTTCATTATTAGCCAGAGTAAGAACCTGCACAGACATGCACAACATAACTACATCATTGCCAATATTCATAATTCCCTGTTTGCTGCAAGTGGAGTATTTAAATGTGTCAAAATGCAATTTTAGTGCTCCGATTAATCAGCTGGATGCAAATGTCCTCATAAAAACATGCACAAACTGTGTGGGGTACCTTGTTGTCATCCATGACAGTGTTGAGAGACTCAATCCACATGGGGTCAATGTCTCCATCCAGAACAATCCACTTTGGCCCCGAGTGAGAGTTACTGGCTTGATCCCGCATGAAATGTGACAATAAACCTGCCACATGAAGAGATTTACAATCTCAAAGTCTTACCAGGGAGAATGGATCTCATGTCTAAACTGTAAGTTATGTACTGTGAATTGGACACGATCAGCTCTACAAAACAATGGATGCTGATGTACCATCTTTCCATTCCCGAGTGGCTGGATGAAAGAATCCAAACAGTTCATCATTGCTTATAGCTTTTGGGTTCAGATCATTCCAGAAAGGCATCTTTCCCATGTTGAAGTAGGTTTTGTGAAGAGTTTTCAGGATCTGTTTAGAGATTTTTTTGTGATTATTCCACACTTTAAATGTACTAACTTTCTATTTTAATTTTTGCAAAGAAAATTTGTTTTGGTTGTTATAGATCAGATCATGTGAACAATAAAAAAAATCATATTTTAAATTAATATTATATATAGTATATGTATGATACCATATATACAGTGGGTACGGAAAGTATTCAGACCCCCTTAAATTTTTCACTCTTTGTTATATTGCAGCCATTTGCTAAAATCATTTAAGTTAATTTTTTTCCTCATTAATGTACACACAGCACCCCATATTGACAGAAAAACACAGAATTGTTGACATTTTTGCAGATTTATTAAAAAAGAAAAACTGAAATATCACATGGTCCTAAGTATTCAGACCCTTTGCTGTGACACTCATATATTTAACTCAGGTGCTGTCCATTTCTTCTGATCATCCTTGAGATGGTTCTACACCTTCATTTGAGTCCAGCTGTGTTTGATTATACTGATTGGACTTGATTAGGAAAGCCACACACCTGTCTATATAAGACCTTACAGCTCACAGTGCATGTCAGAGCAAATGAGAATCATGAGGTCAAAGGAACTGCCTGAAGAGCTCAGAGACAGAATTGTGGCAAGGCACAGATCTGGCCAAGGTTACAAAAAAATTTCTGCTGCACTTAAGGTTCCTAAGAGCACAGTGGCCTCCATAATCCTTAAATAGAAGACGTTTGGGACGACCAGAACCCTTCCTAGAGCTGGCCGTCCGGCCAAACAGAGCTATCGGGGGAGAAGAGCCTTGGAGAGAGAGGTAAAGAAGAACCCAAAGAACATTGTGGCTGAGCTCCAGAGATGCAGTCAGGAGATGGGAGAAAGTTGTAGAAAGACAACCATCACTGCAGCCCTCCACCAATCGGGCCTTTATGGCAGAGTGGCCCGACGGAAGCCTCTACTCAGTGCAAGTTCTCTCCACACTATATATATATATATATATATATATATATATATATATATATATATATCAATTAATCAATTAATAAATAACAATATACAATAAACTTTAATTATTTCATAATATTCCGATTGCTGGATTCTAGTAAAACCAAAGAATTTAGCACAAATAATGAATATACTGTATAACTACAGAACAATATAAATTATTTCACACCTGTGCAATATGTTTATAAAGCCATGAAAATGAAAAATAAAATCTATAAAATAACTGTCCACAAATCTGGCAAATAATTTGTTTGCATGACAATTAATTATCAGGCAAAATGTCATAATCGAATAGAGAGATATTTTACATTATAAGAACACAAAATACAAGTAATTAGTGGATTAATTTAAAACATCAGGGAAAGTGGACAGTGGGAAACAGGTTTGTATTCATGTAGACTGTGTTCTGACCTGGCTTTTTCCAGTCCCAGCATCACCAACCACAAACACTGAGTGATGAACAGATAGAAGCTCATCAAGCTGAACAACCTTCATTAAAAATTGCATTCAAAAATAAGAGGTTAGCAAGGAATCTAAAACAGTATGATAACTTAATGCTAAACAATTTAATGACACTGTGCAGAGAGTTTCTTACTTTCAGAACGAACGTGTCCTCAGGTTGAAGCTTTAACTCTAGACTCGTCTGACGGACTATCAGCTCAAACTCTGCATCAGTCCGCCTTTCCACCTCCAAACCAGGGAACAAATCTCTAATCAGACCCAGGAACACTGGAACGTCTTCCGAAACTATCTGTGGCATGTTGAAATCTCTCAAAGCCTGCATCAACACCTACATAATGTAAAAGGAAGCGTCAAAACACAAGGCTGCTTTATCTATAGAGCTATGCATTAGGGTTGAGCAATGTCTACAAAATTGACATCGGACGATGTCTACAGTGAAACATCGCGATGGACGATGACATCGGCGGGGGCGGGGGTGTGCCCGAAGCGTGAACCCTTATAAGGCACGGAAAACAAATAACGATTCCTAACACCATGTCTACACCGGACGCGAGCGGCGCGACAAAATACTATAGAACCACTGATCTATAATAGAG